GAAAAGGTATACTATATACTTCATAGAGTACCAAACGTAATTCCATTTAGTTGTTTTCGCTTATTTAGAAACGATTTTATTGATTTAAAGCTTCGTTTACTGGATGATTAGAAACGTTAATTAGAACAATGTAATTAACTCTTACAGGACCTGTATAATATAACCTAACCTAATATAACCTTGCTAAGAGTAAATATTAGTATGTAACTGTTTATTTTAGTTTGTTTAGACGCGAAATAAATAAAAATCATAAGAAAGTTACACAACAATATGCAGCTTTTTGGAATTTTATGGAAAATATTTTTCCCAATGGAAAAATATAAAGTTAAACTGTATATAAAGGTAAACACAAACGATGGTTAGGCTTATTATGCAATGTTTTTTATTTACTGGTTTATTATAATAAAATGTCAACTAAAATAATACAAAATTATGAAATAAAATTACAACATGATGTGCTAATTATGATATTCTGCGAAGCAAATTCTTTTGATTGTAAAGCAAAGATGAACATTGCACATGGTACATATATTATGCGTCCTATTTTCTATGCGAAGTTTAGCACAATTTGCACATCTTTTCAATTTTCCCGCTTTTTGTATGTTGTGTGCTAAGAAATTGCGTTTTGTACCAAAAATTACCAATAATTAAATACGACAATCAGCAATTTTAAAATGGGGAAAAATGTTTCCCTTGGTCGTGAAAGGGTCAAAGGGGGAATGTACTCGTTTATTTCACTATCCGTGTACACATATAATAAAAAGTACACGGATTAATACACGGATATATATTAACTACAGGATCTCTATTCCCAACACTTCCCAAAGAATTTCTCAAGAGCAACGTTTCCCGAATTAAAAAATCATACAATTTCGAACGGAATATCTCGAAACCGAAAGATAACCGTTTCCACAAATAATATATCCGTCACCTTGTAACTTCCTCGGCCAGCGTGCAGCGTTAATGCATTTATATCTACACGGAAGAGCCAGCGCGCATATGGCCTTTCAGCTCGTAAAATGTAATTAGCTCGCGGAATAACGTAAACGGCAAAGAAAAATGTTTCGGAAGAAAAAAAACGGTGCCGGTTTGGATTCGTTCGCCAAGGTCTAGCCGGAGTGGTAAATTCGAGGTTACACGTAACCCGGGCACTAAATGTCGAAGAGACCGCTTGTTACCCGCCGCGAAAAAATTCTACGACTTTAATTAACGTCCCCCGACTTTTTGTCGCGGCGAACGGAGGGGCCACGGTCTCGGGAACGAACAGACGGGGGCCCCTCCAATTTTTCGTTTTAATTCGCGTGTAATGGCATCTTCTCGCCGCTCTCCAATCTCGTGGCTGGAAGTATGTCGTCGCCCACTATTTATGCAACCGACAGGGATCTTCCTCCCTTTCGCACTCCTGGGAGCGCAGCGTCGAGAGTTCGTCGTCGCGCGTCGCCCAGCGGTGTTGCAGCGGCGGCGAGTTAGAAAGTAGAGTGCTCGAAAAAAGGACCGCGTTTCAAAGCGGCTCCCGAGAGATATTTCTTTTTCAACGGAAAAACCGTAAGACATCATTGGACGCGATTCTCCAGCGAATACCGGGCGCGTTCTCCTTTTTCGCGACGTGATTTCTGTTTCGTCGCGCGTCATCGACGCGATGCGCGCGCCAAAAGTACCAAAACGAAAACAGAAGGAGAACTAAAAGGATTTTGGCGTGAAACGACGATCTCTTTATATGCCCGTTCCGCGAGCCGAGGCGCGATTATAATTAATGCGCACGCTTCTTTTCGCTTTGACGACCGAATCGAGACGAACCGAGCGCGACGATACGGCAAACAAACGAAAATTCCGTTGGGACAGGTTTCGCCTCTCTACGCTTGACAAGCCCGTTCGATTGAAAAGACTCGACGTGATACGTATGTTGTATTATATTGCATTACCGGTCGATTGCTCGCTTTTTTCGGCCATGTAAATTGCGGTTAGGTATCGGTTGTGCTGATTTTCGAACGGCTCTCGCATGCTGTCAGCGTGCGCCCACGCATCAATCTGAACCGTTTGCCGCCGCTTTTTTCTATTCGGCGCACGTTCGGATCCGAGAGAATGTGTAAGTGCAGCCCAGGTGTTTGCTGCCGGAAGCGAAAGAATTGCGACAAATTTATTTTTGTCCGACCCTCTGTGCGTCCGGATTTTTCGGACGGTCTTTTCTGTAACAGCTAACTCGAAACGATGCGGTAGCTTTGCTTCGATGCAGGCGACGAGGGGAGCGCGTCTTAGCGTTTTGATGCGATACTGGATGCAATTGTTATTGCAGATATTAGATTTATCAAATACTGATAGATGATTTTATAAAATTACGAGAGCGTGTTTATACAAATTTTAACGATTTTTATTATAGTTAAGAATAGCTGTAGAAATGAATTCGATAGAGAAATGCAGTAATCGTTAATTAGAAATGTGGAGCGCGTCAAAATGCAGTTCCGATGCATCACTAGTCTGCGGATCTTTATGCGAAATCAAATTATTATACGGCAGTTGTGATAAATGGAAGACGAATAGAAATCTCGTTCTTTCCCTAACCAGTTAGAAATGTCATTCTTTCCTTAACCAGTTAGCTGTTTTACGCGTCATGTATGAGTCATGAAGTCATGAAGAAATGGCAACATTTTCTGTTACGACGAGTATATTCGTCTAAAAGAGCCAACTGGTCAATAATCTGAATAAGTTCAAAATAATACGACGACATTCTGAGATTCATTAAACCTTCCACAATCTTAAATTTGATCTACTCATTTATGTCATAATTGCATCAAATTCACGGTGTACTAATCACTGTGAAATATTTGATGAAAAGCGATATTTTCTAAATAACAAGCTAAAATTAATCAGTTTTAAAAAGTATGACAATATTTGCATCTTTATCCAAAACTGTCACCTTTTTATTTCAAATACCGCGCCAGATATTTCGACTTTTGCGACAGCCTGTACGCCATTGTATACGTTAACCTAGGCATCCATCTTCTTGACACCTGAGAATCTATTAGAAGTTAGCGTAGGAACTACGAAGGTACCCGAAGATCTCGGGTCGTTTCAGAATAATTTGAAGTCTCCGAGCTATGTCAGAATCACGTGGTTCCGCGAAGTTAGATTTGAAGGTACCGAAGAGTCTAGGATTCAAAGGTCCTAGAGGCCGCAAGGGACGGAGGACTCGTCGCAATCACAGAAGTCGAAGAAGTTAGAACGATCCCAAGGGTCAAAGAAACTGCGA